GTTCCTTCAAAGGGGTCTATAAGGAGTTCCTTAAAGGGGTCAGTAGGGTTTCGGGGTTGTAGGTAGTTGTCAAAATTAGGGGTTCCGTTTTGGGTACCCTAAATATTCGGTGCCGTACTACATTAGGGACCCAAAAAGGGACCATAATTTGGACAACCACCCATATCAAGCGGGTTAGGGTTTAAGGTATCTGGGGGATGGGCTACTCTTTACTATTGTATGTACTACTGGGTGTCCTTTCTCTATTGTTAGGTGTCGATCTCAACAGTCTCCAAGACTATTTAGGATCAGGGCTCCATATTAAGCAGTGAAGGACATTGGAAACTATCCCAAATCGATACCTTTTTGGTTGGCTACTCTGACTAGTAGTTTATGTTGTCATCATTGGTAGTCTTGTTGTTGTTACTACCATTAGTAATAGCATTGTATGCGTCTTAGTATTCTTAGTTGTAGTATTGCTATTTCTGACTCCCACAGACTCCGAGACCCCTCAAATGAGAACCCGAACCTGGCTTAAGGTAATATTCCTTGACTAAAGGGTTTCTGGAGTCTCTGGGTTCACTGATGCACCCTGGTCGCTTCAGCGTTTAGGGAAGGTCTACAGGGGTCGAGGTTCCACGAAAAGGAATGGTGGGTTTCAGGACTTGTGTGCTTTTTGCTGGCTTACTTGGAGGATCAGGGGACTTAGTAAGCAAGGTTATAAGTCCCCCAATTGGGGTTATAAGTTATAAGCAGTAACTATACTTACAAGTACCTGTAATTAACCCCAATTAGGGGACTTTTAACCTTACTTATTAAGTCCCCTGATCCTCCAAGCACGGTTGAGTTTCTCGCTCTCCGGGCTGGAGCTTGAAGGTGCTCGGTGGTTGGGCTGCGTTACATAGCAACCCGTAACGCGAAACCCTTGTACAACTGGAATAGGGCTTCGGGGTATGTTATGCCTATAGTAAGCAATAATCAATATTTCACAAGACTGTAAGAAGGCGCCAACGCTAGCTCTTCGAACCAAGACCCTCAAAACACAGCAGAATGGACTCCGCCTTTGGTGTCATTCTTCTATCCAGTGATGCAGGGCTTAGCTAACCCTGATGATTTCTATGACACCGTAGGGATCATCACCCATAAAAACGAAGCAATTTATCAGTTCCAGGACAACCACGGCTGATGATCCACTGAGCCCGACTGAGCCTGACACCTAAACCCTAAATACCCTACATGTTGACATGGGTGGTTGTCAAAATCATGCTCCCTTTTTGGGTCCCTAATATACAGTAGTACGACGCCCTATATTTATGGTGCCCAAAAAGGGACCCTAATTTTGACAACCACCCTGACATAACAGTGAAGACTACCCCGAAGCCGGAACCTAACTTCGAACCCGAGACTGGCTTGGACAAGAACAGAGGGATGTCATGCTATGCATGCTATTCCTCAAGGGTTTAGGGTTTAGGGTCTCGGAATAGTTGCATCATAATGTGTGCCGAAAGCCTGTTCCAACTGGGTTTGGGGCTTTGGTCAGTCCTTTTGATCCAAAGAGCTGGCAGACATCTTTGTGTCCACTACACAGATGAGACAGATTCCGAAGCCGTAACCGGCGCCAACCCATGAATCAAGTCTACTCCAGCGAGCTTAAAATTTCCGTCGGAAGGAACTTCGTCTACGACGCCGAAGTCTGGAACCTGCTCTGAGGCACCGAGACATAATGTAGGTGCTGTAATAATGTAATAGTTTTTTAGGGTATATTCTAGTACACCTGCAACAGGGACGCCCAGGGAATGCTATTGGAAATTATAGAAGCTTCTGTAGTATGTCTTTACGTGAACTTGAACTTTCTGACGTGCAGGGCAGAATGAAACAGTCAACATCCCACACCGACATGGGTGGTTGTCAAAATTATGATCCCTTTTTGGGTACCCCAAATAATAGGTGCCGTTCTATATTAGGGACCCAAAAAGGGACCCTAAAAAGCACAACCACACCCACATGAGACTGGAGCATGCGCTTTTGGGCAGACAGGATGAACAAGACTTGGGACCCAGGCCTGCCTAGGGTTTAGGGTTTAGGGATCAGGGTTTAGGGATCAAGGTTTAGGGTTTAGGGGACCTAGAGACTCCAATATCCCTAAATTAAGGAATATCAATTTGTAGTCGGATCCCTGTAATATGACTTAATATGCCGCAGCGAGATTCGATGTTTTCGATTCAAGTTTCGGCCCTTATGAGCCCCTTCTGGCGGACTCACCTGGTGTTGTGGCGGACCCCCTGGTGTTCCAATGCTAGCAAAGAATCGAACTCGTCTTGAAAACTTGAGCCATCGGCCAATTCGGAAGCACTTCTCAATGATCTCACTGATCATACAACTGCGAGGAACCGCAAACACCCTTTGGCAAACAGGTTTTGCTGGGCGTTATCGCGCTCTGGAGGCTACCCGAAATTAGGGTTTAGGGCCTAGTTTAGGCATTCAGGTCAGGACCCTGACTCCTAAATCGAGCCTCTGTAGAGCAGGCCGGCACCCTCTTTGGAGTCCTCTTCGGCGATGTTGGCCGTCTGGTTCTGGCCGCCCTCCTCGCCCTCCTCCTCCTCCTCCTCGTCCTCCTCGTCCTCAGAAGACCTTTGCGGGCTGGCAGAGAAAGGGAAGCCCCTTCTACAGGTCCTAATTGATCATTGTAGTAGGCTTCTGCGCTCCTTCATGCTGGGCCGGAGACACCGAGATTCTGGGAATGTCAGTGGAAGCGAAGCCACGTTACATGCTGTAGGGTTCGCGGGTTTAGCGGTTTAGGGTTCCAGACATCCCACGTGAAAGCTGGGGAGTGTGTGCCTTTGTCTTGGCACCGCAGAGGCTGAGTCCCCCAGCCCCCCAAAGATAGTTAACCTTCTCAACAATAGTAGGATTATCTTAGCAACAAAAGGTTAAAGGTTACCTACCCAGCCCCGAAGGTACTGTCTGAGTGAGCAGACTCTAACCCACGCAATACTTCAACCCTGAACCCTAAACCCTGAACCCTAAACTCAGGCTTGGTCTTCGTGTCTGCAGTTCTACTTGGAGGATCAGGGGACTTAGTATGTAAGGTTATAAGTACCCTAATTGGGGTTCAAAGTAATTACAAGTATAGCTACCTTATACATGACCCTAGTACCAAAGTCCCATGATCCTTTAAGTAGGGGACATCGGGCTTGGAGGTGCTGCGAGTGAAAGAAGAAGAAGAGAAAGGAGTTTAGAAAAGAAGGGACCCTGTCAAGACTTTAACCCCTGAGCCCTAAACCCCCAATACCCTCAACCCTAAAGCCCAAAACGTTGATACAAATCATTGCAGGAACCGTTGTTTTCCCCCCCTTTCCAAAGACATGAACCTTGCTCCGGAAACCCCCATGTAGGGCCAGGCGTCGCCCCAAACAGAACTTCCATGCCTCGTCTCAGAGCTAAGGGTTTAGAGTTTAGGGTTCATGAAAGGATCCCCAGCAACCCAGGGGAACTCAAGGTGAACCTTTGGGGGATTACCAGGACCCCCCCCCCCCAATACTAGAGGGCAGTTGGGAACTCAAGGCCAATCTTTCTGATTATCTGGTGGGATTGGGTTTAGGGTTTAGCTGCTTAGGGTTTGGGGTTTAGGGTCTCGGGATTGCCGTACCCCAATGAAGAGGTTGGGACAGGCTTCGTGCTCCTTGCCCATCCCTTTAATTCCAATCGTATTTTACCAACAAACACAGTTATCAGAGATGCGAAACCGTGGAACTGCTTAGGCATGGCTGGGGAGGAAGATCAATGTTGAATGTGCTGCTGCTTCGGAGGTACTTGCATTTCGCGGTCGAGGCTTCCGATAGAACCCTTCGGTGGTGTAAGTTTGCTGTATATCGCGCTTGACTTATGCTTACCTGTCTTGACGGGTGCCGGGCCGGCTTGCAAACTGAAGGACATGCAGCCCAAACGGACATTCATGCATACCTACAGTCGCGTCGCGAAGGAGACTGAAAACAGGGGTGTATGTTGAGATCTGTAACCCCAGACACTACAGCCCTAAAGCCCCAAAACCGGTAAACCCGGAGGTGTGAATCTAAACCCTAAACCCTAAACCCCTAAGGGCCCTAAGGGTGAGGATCGGCAGCGACTTTTCAGAACGTCAATCTGCCCGAGGCCCTCCTCACAACCGAAAGCCTACTTGGAGGATCAGGGGACTTAGTAAGTCAGGTTTTAAGTCCCCTAATTGGGGTTATAAGTACTCATATGTATACTGTATAGTTACCTTACTTATAACCCTAGTTACTAAGTCCCATGATCCTCCAAGTACTCAACTCTTGAGGACTCGACGGATTGAGTCAAGAGTTGGCAGGCTTTGGAGTTTGGACAAACCCTAAACTTTAGACCCTGAACTCTAAACTAAACCCACCCCAAAAACCCCAAACCCTACACCCTGCACCCAAACCCCTTAGGCCCTAAACTCCAAACTAAAACCACTCCAAAACCCCAAACCCTACGCCCTGCACCCAAAACCCTAAACCCCAAAGCCTCCCAACAGCCTTAACCGTTGAGATGCTTGAACTCCCACCGTGGAGACGTTGAGGGTTCAGGCTTTAGGGGGTTTAGGGGTTCAGGGTTTAGGGGTTTAGGGGTTTGGGGTTTTGGGTCTTCGGGTTTTGGGATTTGGGGTTTAGGGGTTTAGGGTTTAGGGGTATAGGGGTTTAGGGTTGAGGGTTCCGGGGTTTAGGGGTTGAGGGTTTAGGGGTTTCGTGGTTTTAGGGTTTCGCGTTCTATAAGAGGTTTTTGTTTGGGGTCTGGAGTGTATGGTTTAAGGTTGGGTTTAGGGTAGGCTGTATGAGAGGGTTTAGGGTGTAGGGAATTGACAAGGATTACCGATAAGATGTAAGGAACATCTCGTAAGATGAGCGTATTGGACGCAAAGCTGGCGACCCTACACCCTAATCCCCTCCAACACCCAACCCTCTAAGCCCTAAACTCTCAACCCTTTGCCGTGAAGTCTCTACTGCCTACCCTCATGTCACATCTTATTCCAAGGAGCCTTTCATCGCCATTGAACTTCCCGTGCGAAGCGGGTGCGGGACCTGCAGTCTAGCCCCACACAGAGGACCAAGGTTTTACTATATACATATACATGTATACACATGCATATATACGTACACGCATACATACGTACATACATACCTACATACATACCTACATGTGTACATAAGGTACATTTTCGAGAAACAAAGACACACACACACACACATCCACACACGCGCGCATCGTGCAGAGAAGATCAGGTGCTCCGGAGTTTAAACCCTGAACACAAAACCTGATCGCGCTGATCGCAACCCTTACAGAACGCCTTGCCTTGTAGTATCCCGCATAGTATCTCTTATGGTAGCCACGGCCTTCTCAAGTCAAGCTCACTGTCCGACCATGATTCGAAGCAACTCTTCATCACATGAAGGCAAGGGGCCAGGCAGGTGTGCCCATCAAGGGGCTGCTCCCCGGTAGCGATGTAGTTCAAGATCTTCGATGCACCTGTAGGCTCGAGGCTGCAAGCGCTCTTTGGGATGGTGTCGTTGAAGCATGGGATGTTCAGGGGTGGTTTAGGTTTCAGAGGCATGAAGTAGTTTGGGTTCATGATTTCAATCGCCAGGGAAAAACCCTGAGCCCTAAACTCTAAACCCTAATCCCTAAACCCTAAAGTGGGAGTTGTGGATGCAAGACCCTAAAACCTTACTAAAACCTAAACCCTAAGCTTTGGAGCTTTTGATCTAGGGAATGGGTCTCGGGGGCGACGATTTAGGGATCTGAATCCTGCGTTACCCCTTATAAGGAATATACCATAATTGCCATAGCCAAGGTAATGCAGGATTTGCATCATCAACCGTATGTTTAGGGTTTAGGGTTTATCAGGGCACCCCAATGGCCCTTCAATGGAGCCCTTTTGGTCCTTAATAGGGCTACTTGGGGTATAAAAGAGGGTGGTTGGGGGGGGGGGTTACGTGTTTAGTGGCTTTAGGGGATTTTAAGGTCTTAGGTACTTTGGGGTTTGGGTCTTAGGGGCTTGGGGGTTCGGATCTGAAAGGTTTAGGGTTTAGGGGTTCAAGTTATATCAGGTCAAAGATTTCGACAGAGCGGCAAGCATAGAGTGCCATTTGGTTCGAGTAGGTCGAAAGATGGTGGTTGGCCACGTCCTGGCACCCAAAGCTGTCGGCGTTTCTCGGAAAGGGGGGTACTTAAAGGATCATGGGACATAGTAATTCGGGTTACAAATAAGGTAGCTACTTCACTTATAAGTACTTATAACCCCAACTAGGGTACTTTTAAACTTACTTACTAAGTCCAATGATCCTCCAAGTAGGGTTTCGGCTCACACGGAGAAGGCAACAAGATGCAACACATCACAATTGCAAACGGTTCCAGCACCAGCGCACCTCAAAAGGGTCTTGCTGGCCAAAGATTACCCCACAGTTCCCGACAGCATACAGCTTACATCTTAGGAGTCATGGATACGCCATCCCCCACTGTTGATGGACAAAATCCTGCATGACCCTAAGGACTCTAAATAAACTATGGGAACTATGGTATATTCCTTGTAATGGGCAATGCAGGATTTTGTCCATCAGCAGCATCATAAGCCTAAGCTAACCATCCCCAATCCAGATCTGGCCTGCTGGTAAGAATCGTAGAGCTCTTTTCCTTGGATCTGGAGTAGAGTATGCCCAAAAAGGTGTAGGGTTGGATCTAGAGATTTTATGCCCAAAAAGGTTTAGGGTTGGATCTAGAGAAATTATGCCCAAAAAGGTTTAGGGTGGGATGTAAAGTACTTCCAAAAAGTTTAGGGTGTACATTTCTCTTGCGAGAAACTGAGACATCCCAACCCGCATCAAAGTTTAGCACGGCGGAAGCTAGCAGCGGCAACAACACCCACAACACAAATGAACCATGATCAGAACCAGCCTAGACCCAAACCCTAGCATTCCCAACTGCTTCTCACAATGTACATATGTAAAGCCAAAGCCCCAAAGCCATCAACCCTAGTCTACTGAAGTTACGACTGCCCAGCGGCCCAATCCGTGCAGCTTCGATTTGTCGAGGCAGTGACCGTAGCCTGCGTCACAGGCTTGTTGCTTGTGGCTTCTGGTGTTCTAAGCCAAGAGCTTGCGAAACCAGGAGCGCTACACGCCCCTGATTATTTCCAAACCACCATACAGACAGAAAAAAAAAACGAGTTCAATCATGCGGGTTTGTCACGCAAGGCTGATCTTGAGCCCAGGGCGTTGAAACTCAATGTCCATCAGCCAATGATCCCGCAAGCCAAACACAAAAAGTTCAAGAAACCCACAGCACTTACGTCGACAGCCCTTCTCTCAAAAAGGGTGCCGACGCACACTGGGGTGCCTTGGTAGGTCACGAGATGACCCCGAGGAAAGGCGCTGCGGGCTAGCTGAGCACTGGTGTAAGCCTGGTCTGACTTGGGGTGCATGGCTATTGAACGATTTGGTCCTCGAAAACCGAAGAGCTCACAGCGCAAAGTAGCATACTATACTTGGAGGATTAGGGGACTTAGTAAGTAAGGTTATAAGTCCCCTAATCGGGGTTATAAGTAATTATAAGTATAGTTACATTATTTATAACCCTAGTTACTAAGTCCCATGATCCTTTAGGTCCTTTGAGTATCGAGGCTGAGAGGCAGTGTTCGGATCATGCAAGTTCCCAATAATCACAGGACTCACCTGGCCATTGCCGAGGGGTGGCACAGGCCGTGCATCGGCGGGCCAAGTGCTAATACCGACCACCCAGCTCAAGGCCCAAGGGGTTCCGATTGGCTGCTTCGCCATGGACTCCTGGCTGTCCGCAGCCGAGCTTCCGTAAACCCTCTACAAACCCCCAAGCCCCTAAACCCTAAACCCTAAACCCTAAACCCTAAAGCCTAAACTAAACCCCAACAGCCTGAAAGAGAATCCCCAGCTGATTTTGTCTGGTTTGGTCCTTCCACCACTGGATCATGGCTTCCTCGTTCAACCTGCCGGCAGTGTCCGTGCCCATCACCATGGCCTGCATTCCAAAGTCGAACAGGTCCTCGTTGAGCAGGATTGGCGAGTCGTCCGTCGGTACGAGGTACCTTAACCAAGCAAACCTTTTTCAGGCTTCTAGGAAGTAAAGTATTGCTACCCCGCAAATCCTAAAACTTGCTAATTCAGTTAATAAACGGGCCTGACCAGTTAGAAGAGGGTTTCATTGGGGTATATAATACTATAGTTATAGCAAGGAACCCCCCACATTAATACCAAGGGTACTCAAGCACAGCAGGACAATCCTCTGAGTCCACTCCGGACCAGTACATCTCCACGCAAGCCAGGAACAAAGCCGCCACTGCTTCTATGTTCCTCGGGCTCCAAAATTTTAGGGTTTAGGGTTTAAATTAGGGCTTAGGGTCCAACGTTTTGGGGTTTACTGTAAAAAAAGCAAGCGGCTCCCTGTTTGGTATCGGATAACGGTAGTTTGAAAAGACACCAAAAAAACAAAAAAACGAAAACACTGACCCTAATCCCCTTCACCCTAAATCCCAAACCCCGAAACCCCAACCTTAAACCCTAAAACTCAAACCCTAAATCCTGGAAAGTTGAAAATCAGCCCATCGGGAGATCCAGGTGCTCGTCACCGCCTTTCTGGAAGATGGCGAGGTCTGCAAGCATGTAGAGGAGTGCAGCTCGAAAGGGCTGGCCTGGGTTCTTGTTAAAGGCTTGTATTTAAGTCACCATAATAAGGACACCATATTAGCCTGGGTTTTTGTGAAAGGCTTTTATTTAATTCAAGTCACCATAATAAGGACACCATATTGTACTGATATTCCCTATTTTGGTAACTTAAAGAATTCAATAACAATAACCCAGTGGCTGGAGTCTTGAATCATTTGAATCGCCTTCGTTTCGGACAGCGGCGCGGCTGGACAGATCTCGTCTTTGCTTAGATTCAGTTGGATGGTCTGGTCGCATGCTTTGACGAAACCTTAGTTGCCGAGCTCAGAAAAAAACAGAACAACTTCTAAAGATTCCACTGCCCCAAAAGCTTAAAACTTGCTCCAAACCCTTCACCCTAAACTCTAAACCCTACTTGAGCCACCAAGATACCATTGAAAGTTGCCGTGATGCCCTTTGCAAAGAGGTCACCTGACCACGGAGCCCAGAGTTGCAAAACAGCTTCTTCGATCATAAGAGGTGTGTCTTGCTATGTCTTCCTGTACATGCCAGGAACCATATCTACATAAGTGAATAAAAGTATGCATATATATATATATATGTATATGCATATATATATATATATATATATATATATATATATATATATATATATACATAAACATCAAAGAAATGCATACATACATGCATAAACAAATCAACAGATACATACAAGTGCGTAACATGCATACGTGCATACTTCTGCATACATACATTACACATGCTTTGGTCTCTCTCTCTCTCTCTCTTCCTTTCGCTCTCTTTCTCTTTCTCCCTCACTCTCTCTGTCTCTCTGTCATCGCTAATCGTCTTGTTGTAGCGCATGGGGTTTGCATTTCTTTAATGGCTTTTCCTCGGAGGCCGTCTGCTCGAAAACGTCTCTCAATCGTCTGCTCACCAAGATTAGATTATTTGGTAGATCCGCTGGCTGTATAGTTTGCAGAAACAACGTGTCGAGGCCTGAAAGATGTTGAACCACCATCCTGATGTCTGTCCGAATGTATCTATACCTAGTTCTGCTGAGCCTACAACTTGCTGAGGCACGGTGATCACTATATGTTGTAAGCCCATCTTGACAGTCCTGGGAGGACATGCACCCAGATCTTCCACAATCCCTTAACTAAGGAATATACCTTAATTCATATTAATTAAGGATCCTATTATGGTTTAAGGTATAGTCCTTAATTGAGGGATATAATTCATATTACGGATCCTATTATGGTTTAAGGTATAGTCCTTAAGGGATGTTGGTAGGTCTTTGCGCCCTGAACTCCTAATCGATCGACCTGAACTCCTAATCGATCGACTTGTGAGCCAAATCACGGGGGCTCTGACTTGACAAGCAGAGTAGGGGTCTGAACTTTTTCCTATTAGAATTTAGGGTTTAGGGCTTTTCATGTTAGAATTTAGAATTTAGGGTTTAGGGCTTTTCATTATATTAGAATATAGGGTTTAGGGTTTTACATGTTAGAATTTAGAATTTAGGGTTTAGGGTTTTTCATGTTAGAATTTAGAATTTAGGGTTTAGGGTTTTTCATGTTAGAATTTAGGGTTTAGGGTTTAGGGGACTCGTAGAAGTAATTCACTGTTCAGGCTGCTACATGACTACCGCTAGTTGTGATAGCCACCTCTTTGCTGGACGTCGGGAAAGGGGTCCACCACGCCATCCAATATCAGGTGCTGCGTGTTCTCTGGGAAGACTGTGCCATAGACTCCAGCAACTGCGGTGCCTTGAGGTGCGGTTTAGTGTGCTCAGAACGCCATGAGAAACGAGCCATTACGCAGTGTAACGGCCGAAGATTCGTATTGGGGAACGGCAACGGCGTGTATCATGCTTATGACGAGTTTCTGAGCATTAGTAATGTAATGATTCGGGGTAGTTGCACTAAGCATCCTACTGCTTTGCATCAACATTAGGCTCGCTTTTCTGAACATCTTACATAATGCAGTCCAAATGCCGTAGGACATGCCATAGATGGACAGTTTTGGTGCGCCCACGGCGCGGCGGAAAAGGTCGATATCCTGGACCAGGTCCATTGTTCCGCCAAACTGCAGTGCATTGTACTCCTGAGTTGTTGTATTAGGACTTGGGGGGTGGACCTTCCTTAAAGCACGGCCCCTGTTTGAGTGAATGACCCACGCCCTCACCTGGTTTGAGGCGTAGGGTGTCATGTTTCAGACTGGACCAAAGACTTACTCCCAATCTTGACGGTGCAAAACCTGCTCGAGCATCTAACCCCCTCAAGCCCAAGCCTAATTGCTGCTGCTGGACCCCAAGTCCTGAATCCCACACCCTATACACCACCCCTAATCCATCCATGACAAGGTGCGCGCCCGCTTGGTGACTGTAGCTTGAATCCTCACCATGCTGGGCAAGCAGATCCGATACAGCGATCGTTAGGGGGGATTGCTGCCCGAAGCTCGACCAACCCTAAACTCAAGCTGGGGTCACCTATTCGCTGAAAAATCTCTTCAAGGGCCGGGATGTCGATATAGGATCCAGCAACTACGGAAAAACATCGCTGACGGCCCAAGGATCGTGCAGCTTCGTAGCAGTAGCTGAACTCCAATTTCATGAGCCGGTAGTACCATCGTACCAGGGTCTCGTTGAAGGCCATGACGCCTCGGCTTCACTCTTCTCGTTTTAAATAGTATGGTTTAAGGATTAAGAAAACGTTCCTAGAACTGGGGTTCTGTACCGAAAGGATCCCAAGTGAGGGTCAGATGCGGGTCTGCCTCTTATCTGGAACGCAATAGAAAAGACTGGGACCCTTTCGTGCAATCAACCGGCACCCTAAGCTGAGCCAGCAGGGCACATGCCGAGAGACTCCAATAATCCTTAATTAGGGAATATACCTTAAATCATATTAAGGATCCTACTATCATTTAAGGTATATTCCTTAATTACGGGATTTACGGAGCCTCTGGGCGCTCTATGGCCGGAAGCCAGGCCTCGCGCCAATGCATCCGCCCCATTACATGCAATTGGTTACCTGCGAGAAAGCCTTTCTGTCCCACTACTTGGAGGATCAAGGGACTTCGTAAGTAAGGTTATAAGTATCCTAATTGGGGTTATAAGTAATTATAAGTATATTTACCTTATTTATAACCCTACTTACTAAGTCCCCTGATCCTTTAAGTATTCTTCCATGGTGCCGGATTCGGTCTGTGTCATGTCTGGCGTCCGCAAGATCTTCACGATATACTCCATGCTCTCTTTGACGGTTTTCTCCGACGTGTCGTTGTTGCCGCCCATAATCAGCTCCACGAACTCAGCGTGTCACGCAGGATATCTCGACTTGCTGCACCCGAAACCCGACACTCTACGCTTGGGATGCATGGGAGACCCGAAGCCTTTATAAAACTCCTCCTACTTCGAGGGGCAGGGGACTTAGAAAGTCCGTGAAAAGTAGAGTTATAAGTACCCTAAATGGAGTTACCCCAAGTATAACCCTACTTATAACCTACTTACTACGTCCCCTGCCCCTCCGAGTACAACCCTGATGGGCTTCTATCACACACCGAGGCCCTATGTAGCTGTATCGGGAAAGGGGACCTCAAACTCCACAAGCCCCTCTAGTAGCTTTAATTCTGGCTTCGGTCGGAGGATCACAAAAGCATAAGTAACTGCACTCGCAGGGTGGCCCCTCCTGTTGATAGACATGGCTTAATGAGCCCATGGGAAAAAAAACAAACATGCCGCGCGTGGAACGCGGACGAAGGCGTCCCCAAAGCTTAAACCTCGCAGACCTTCCAAAGTCCCTTAATTAAATGCACAAACTGTAATAATTACAAATCGAAACTAGGCGGGTGACGTCGCGGATACTTTCCGTATCGGTCGCTATCTTATTTCAAAATCGAAATTAGCGGCTTAGGGCTGTGTGGCTAAGACTAGTAGCAGTAGTGGTAAGTCCTCGTGGTAGCGGTAATAAAAGTAATAGTCAAATAGTAGTCGTCGTAGTAGTAGCAGTAGCAGCAGCAGCAATACTAGTAGTAGTAGTAGTAGTAGTCGTCGTCGTCGTAGTAGTAGTAGCAGCAGCAGCAGTAGTAGTAGTGGCCGGATAGGCTTTTTTAGGGTCGGATTAGGAAATAACGAATTTGGCAGAAGCCCATAAACCCAAAACAAGCCTATCTGAGCCAGATGGGGCTTTTGGGGAGTCGGATTAGAAAACTGCCCAAACCCAAAACCCAAAACAAGAAGCCAATCTGAGCCAGATAGGGCTTTTCCGGGGGTCGTATTACAAAATAACGAAATTAACCGAAACCCAAAGCCCAAAACAAGCCTATCTGCGCCAGATAAGGCTTTTTTTGGTGCAGGTTTAGGAAATAACGAAATCGGCCGAAGCCCAAAACCCAAAACAAGACTATCTGAGCCAGATAGGACTTTTTGGGGGGTCGGACTAGACAATTTTTCAAAACCCAAAACCCAAAACAAGCCTGTCTGAATCAGGTAGTGCTTTTTGGCGGGTTGAATTACAAAATAACGAAATTAGCCGAAGCCCAAACCCCAAAACAAGCTTATCTGAGCCAGATAGGGCTTTTGTGTGGTCGGATTAGAAAATAACGAAATTGGCCGAAGCCCAAAGCCCAGAACAAGCCTATCTGAGCCAGATAGAGCCAGATAGGGCTTTTTGGGGGTCGGCTTGGGGATGCCAACACGGGTTTCGGCAGGAAAAAGAGCTTGTCTGAGTCAGATGGGGTGTTCTCGGGGTCCCCAAAGCCAAACGACTGCCTATCTGTGCTAAAAGGGTGCGGATGCCAGAACGGATCTCAGCAGGAAAAAGGGCCTATCTGAGCCAGATAGGGTGTTTTCGGGGTCCCAAACGCAAAACGACTGTTAAAGGGGTGCTTGGTGGATGCCAAAACGGGTTTACGGCGGAAAAAAACAGCCTATCTGAGTCAGATAGGCAGTTTTTGTGGGTCAAAGGAGCCAAGTAAGGTGTTTGTGCGGTCTTGCTGGCAGTATGCGCGGATTGCGTCGCTAATTTGGCATAATTTGGGACGCATGCGGTCACTAATTTCGGAGATTTTCGAGGTGACGTCGCGTGACGCCGCTATAATTTGTGCAGTTAATTAAGGAATATACCTTCAATCATATTGAGGACCCTTCTATAACTTAAGGTATATGCCTCAATTAGGGGATTATGGCTTTTCGGAAACCGTAAACCCTAAAACCTGAACCCTAAACCGCCTAAACCCTAACCCTAAACCCTTTTTCGGAAATCAACCAACCGTCTCTCTTCTCAGCATAGGGGCCGTCCTGTTGTCCGCCTGACAGGTTCAAAGGAGCAGCGGCTGAAGGATCAACCCAAACCCTAGCAAAAGAAGGGGCCTGAACGTTGGAATATGGTTTTGGGGCCTAAACCCTACTCCCTAAAAAAGGGGCCGAAAAAGTTAGAATAAGGTTTGGGGCCCATTTTACTATAAATATAACAAGGCACAGCCGAAACAGTATAGGCACTTGTTAAAGCTCCTAGATTCAATCCTGAACGCTACTGGAGCAGTGCTTTGGGGTATTCCACGGAAAGCGGGCTCGAGGCTGCAATGAAGGAGACCGAGCGGCCAAAAAGAAGAAACCACCAAGCTGACGACATGACGGTCTAGTACTGTTGAGTTTAGGGTTTAGGGTGATGATATAAATCCTGCATGACCTTAAGGGCCCTAAACTATGGGAACTATGGTACATTCCCTTTTATGGGCAATGCAGGATTTACATCATCTGCAGTAGTTCATGGTCCAGGCTCTAGCGCTTAGGATTTAAGGGTCTGGCGCTTCAACTTAGGGGTTAGGACATTTTGCGTGAGATTTAGGAACTAGCCTTGCAGAACTTACGTTACTAGTTTTTTCCAACCAATCAAGAAGATCAGTCGCACACGGGGTTTGTTTGCGGTTTTGTTAGTGCAAACACCCGCAACCTGGTTTTGTACCCATTAAGGTCTAGATGCTGCCATCGCTGCGTGCCTTTGAGCCTACAACAATAAGCAACCTCGGCACAAGCCTGTGAGTTTTCTGTGCGTGAGACCCCTAAACCGTGACTCTGTCTGAATCCTAAATCCTAAAGCCTATAAAGCCCAATATACAGGCCTGAATAATTAGAATAGGGCTTTGGGGCTCACTATACTATCATTATACTCATAAGGAACCCCACAATACTATTGGTAATTATTCCAGCCCCCACAGCAAGCCCCACACTCTCGGCCCAGACCCGCCTGGCTCAAGAATGGGTTCGTGAGAATCTCATTGCACTTAATCTCCGGAAACGGGAGAATCTCCTCACCAGAGGCATACCTTCTGTCTGGGGTTCTTAGCAGGGAATGGGGGTTCCTTTGAGGGTTCCTTTCAGGGTTTCTATAAGGGTTACATTATTCGGGACTATTATTCGGGACTGCTATAAGAATCCATTGCCCCATTCCCTACTAAGCACCAGAGGCGTAGCTTTCAGGATCCACTTTGGCTATCGAGGCCGGGAGCAGGGGCTCAGGCTTAACCTTCGATCCTGAACCCTTAAACTCAAAGGGGAAAAGGAGGGACCCTTAATGGGGACCCCTACCCTGTGATGGGCTATATAATGGGTATATAATAGCTATCTTAAGGGTATATACCTAGGGGTCCTTATTAAGGGTCCCTCCTTTCCTCCTTTGATAAACCCGATTTCCTAAACTCCAAATCCGGAACCCTTGCTACTGCTTCGCACCACCCTAACCCCTAGACCTACACCTGAAATCTTAAACTCCAGCTTACCAGCACCAGCCGGACAAGACTGAGACACCATAGCGCCCAACGAAATCCGGCAGCCACATAAGCTAGAGGCCTTATTAGTTGGAATAGGTTTGGGGGGGTTACTTTACTATAACTATAATAAGGGAACCCCCGAAATTGTATTGGTAAGTATTCAAGCCCCTAAACCCTAAACCCTAAACCAAATCCGAAGCTCGCACACCGGGAGGTAGGGTTTAGAGTGAAGGGTCTGGGGTTTAGGGTACAGGCAGGTACAGGCACGTTCCAGGACCCCCCAATGGCCCCGTAATAAAGCCCTTACGGTTGTTAATTGTGGGTATTTAGGATACATTAGCGGGTAGTTGGGGGGTCTAGGTGGGGTTTAAGGTTTAGGCATGTTTAGGCTCTATAGCAAGTCTGGTAGTTGTAACGCCCAGCATAGGCTAATCAGAAGGAAAGAAGCCTATCGTGCTGACATACTGTTTGGGGAAAACAAAAACGCTGGACTCTGAACCATGCCTAAACTCAACCACAAGCCCCGCTTGAGCGCCGATTGAATTTCGGTGCTCCGGATTTCAAGACAGGACAATGTGGATTGCTGAAGCTGAGTAGTACTTGGAGGGGCAGGGGACTTAGTAAGTCGAGTATAAGTAGAGTTATAAGTACCCTAACTGGAGTTACCCCGAGTATAACCCTACTTATAACCTACTTACTACGTCCCCTTGCCCCTCCAAGTAGACCCTAAACCCCCATAGATCCCTTTAAGGAACCCTATAGATCCCTTTAAGGAGCCCTTTAAGAACCCTTACTAAGTCCCCTGCCCCTCCAAGTAATAAGTCGTAGCAGCGGTCCCTAAACCTGGGGCCGAGCAGCTGCAAACGCTACGCCAAGAACGCCGGGTCCCAAACCCTACGCCCCTGAACACTAAGCCCTGAAACCCTAAACCCTAAACCGTTGGCCCTAAACCCTAAATCCTACCCCATACACCCTAAACGCCAAATGTGACTTCACTCAGAGCCTCGATCCCAAACCCCCTGCCGAACACCCTCAGAAATTAGTACAGGGGACTTAATAATCAAAATAGGTTTTGGGGCATGTTATCATAATAATGAAACTACGGTCTTTAGGGCTTAAAGTTTTCGGGGTCTTAGGGTTTTAGGCTGGAAGGTTTCAGGTCGAATATTATGCTTTAGAGTTTTGGGGGGCGGTTCACGGCTTTACTCAGTGCCTGAAACTGCCTGAGTTTACCTAATGTGATATACTATACTATAACCGAAGACAATGTACTATGATACGGTTGATGATCTAAGCCCTGCATTACCCACAATAAGGAATATACCATTACTCCCACAGTTTAGGGTCCTTAAAGTAATGCAACATCTATATCATCAACCGTATGATACTCCCCAACACCCAATTTAATACACTATACTATAATATACTGAAGCAATAGGGCCCCAAAAAAGCACACAAGCCAAAATTAGGATAGGGATATCCCATGTACACCCGCCTATAATGCAGCCCAATAAGGTATATAGA